CGTGCGTGCGTGCGTGCGTGCGTGCGTGCGTGCGTGCGTGCGTGCGTGCGTGCGTGCGTGCGTGCGTGCGTGCGTGCGTGCGTGCGTGCGTGCGTGCGTGCGTGCGTGCGTTCGTGCGTGCGTGCGTGCGTGTGTGGGTGGGTGGGTGGGTGGGTGGGTGGGTGGGTGGGTGGGTGGGTGGGTGGGTGGGTGGGTGGGTGGGTGGGTGGGTGGGTGGGTGGGTGGGTGGGTGGGTGGGTGGGTGGGTGGGCGTGTGCGTGTGCGTGTGCGTGTGCGTGTGCGTGTGCGTGTGCGTGTGCGTGTGTCTGTGTTAGTTTCGCTTACGCGTGTGTTGCACGTGTGTGTGTGTGTGTGTGTGTGTGTCGCGAGCGTGCGCCCAGACAAGCGCGCGCCGGAGTCACTAGAGTGTCAGGCGTGCGACCCATGCGCCAACATGCCTCAGTTGCATGGTCGGTGCAACAAGGCACGAGTTTTGTCTACCTATTTTTAAAGACCGCCTACGAAAGACTATGACAGGTTGCTCAATACTCTGCAATCGTGCGACCATTCAGCGTGCGACCATTCAGCTGCGTCGCCTCGACCGTTGGCGTCACCCGCGGGGTCCTTGGAAGGGGAGGGCTTACAGGTGTCCCAATCCTACCGCCCAAAAAGGCACTACGAATGGCGAAACGGCACTTGCTCTACCCGTCACACGTTTTTGCCTTTTCGCTTGATTCAAGACCAGAAAGGCTTCAGTGGGCCAACAGCAGCAAGATCTGTCTTCCTCTCCGCCGTTAAATTCTATGATGCACAGGAGTCCTGCGCGTGACGACGAGCAGCCTCTGCCTGGCGCAAAGACCTGAGCTTTGGCACACTGAACCCTTCTCCTGGCCCTCCTTTGATGAAGGTCGGTGGAAGACAGAGGTTTCATGGGATGCATTGCAGCAACCAGCGCAGGGCCAAACAGGGTGCGAGATTTTCGGTTCTCCCTTTTGGACCAGGGACAAGCAAAACGGAGCAAGAGACTGTGCGCCGCACACCTTGTCCAGGGGAGACCACTTCTTCTTCTCCTGAACAAGGGGCGTCCAATCCCGCAAGCCCGGTCAGCAGGGCAAGTCCATCATTCGCCTTGGGTGTCAGGGCTGCTGTGCAAAGCATAGAGATCTCCCCAACAACGCAATTTTGATCCTCCTGCTCTGCCCCACCTCTTTTTTGCTGCTGGCCCGGCCCCTTGCCCCTGCAACTCACCCAAAAAAATGAGCGAAAACGCCTATGCCTGCTTCTGGGCTTGGGACCTTTCCCAGACTCCCCAGCCTCTCAAACCCCAAGCTCAGCACCGCCAAGCCAACCCCCAAGCCCCCAGCCAGGCCTACCGCCCCCCCGATCTTCCCACCCTGCGGCCAGCTTTAGCCTGTCACGCCCAGCCCAGCTCATTTAAGCCCACCTTGTTGGCTGGCCCCAGGCGGGCAGCGCGAATCTTTCACAATAACGAAGCTTGTCTGGCATGGTCAAGTCTCAACTGAAAAAGCAAGATGTTTCATGGCTGGCAAATCACAGCTCCTTCTGGTAAGCGAGACAGGTGTCCAGCCTCCGGCAGCATGCCCGGATGCCAAAATAAAATAGCCCCGCAAATGATTGGTTTTCTGAAGCTCTCTCTAACGCATCCCAGTCACTCACGCACCGAGCAAGTCGCTCACGCACCGAGCACCGTGCATTTCGGCCGCTCGCTCCTCGCGCGGACGTTTTGCCAATGACACATGCACAAAGTGCGCCACGCCTTGCAGCCCGCACGGCTGTAGCAAAGGTGCGAATTCAGCGAGAGCGAGGGGCACAGTGCACGCCTGGCACAGATTGAGCCAATGGGTTTGCAAATGCGGCTTGCGTCATGAGGCGCCTACCCACGCCCTGATAAACTTTCACCGCATCCCTCAGTGCTCACATTCCCCACGCAATCTTCGCTTCATGAGCTGCTGACGCAAAGGCATCTCCCGCAGCTTGCCACTGAAAAAGAGCCAACAAGAACCTGCCAAAGCTAAGACGCGTGCGGCTGAGATGGCAAAAGCCTGAGGCGTCCGCGTAGCCCTCCTGACGCTGACCAGGAAAAGAAAGGCAGGGAGCTTCTCCACAGATACTCCTAAGACATCTCTCAAGGGACTGCCATGTGTTTACCCCGTGTTTCAGCATGCCTGGACATGCCTGGGTGTGCGGCTAATTTCATCAAGCTTGGCAAGGGCACCTGTCAAGTGCCCCTGATTTGGAAGAACATGGCCAGCCCAGGCAGAAAGGGAAAAAAGCTCACGTCCTCGGCAGAAGGCTCCCTGCTGCCTTTTTTGGCAAACGACTTTCTGGACTCGCTGAACAGGGCCTGGACCACTTGCCTTGATCTGGCGATCCAAAGGGTCCAAGGTCTGAAGGGTACAGCTCTCGGATTGACTCATCCTACTGGAATCGAACCTACCTGTGAGAAGTCCAGTCTGTAAACACAGAACCGGAGGAAAATGATACATTTGTTCTGCTGGCTGCTAGCATCAATCAACTGCGCAAAAGCATTGAAAAAGCGCTGGCAATGCCGGGAACAAATGGACTGGGGTTTTGAATCTGAACTGCAGCAAAATGAGAGCAAATGTAAGAAATGCTCAGCTCACTGGGCAGGAAGGCTCGCCCATTTGCTGCATTACCATCTGCAGGGCTCGCCTCAGCCATTGACAGTCCGGAAACCACTTCGCATTTGCGCTACTTCCTTTGGGCGGTGTCAAATATGGACACCTGTGTGGGGCCTGGTGCCATTGCCGCCTTTCAAGGTCCACAAAGGGTCCAACACGTTTGCTAGCCCATCTGGTATGGCCATGCCGGGACGCTGGTCCATCATGCCCTGCGCCCCTGCTCCCACGGAGATCTGCACCCCAGGCATCCCGGGTAAAAGGATCCGCGAGACCTCAGACGAAGCGAAGGGAAGCCAAGAAAGCGGTGGCTTCCAAACGCCGCCGGCGTTCCTCCGTTTTCGCCGTGTGCCTAGGGCCTAGGATTGAACCTGAGTCGCAGGCAGAACTGGCGGCCACTCTGACCTCCGGCAGCGCCTCGACCTGCGAGCGGTGGGCGTGGCGACGGCACGCGGCAGTTCCCCGTCCTCGCTGCGCAGCTGTGGCGGCCATAGCTCAGGCGGGGTGGCTTGAAAGAGTCGGTTGCCCCACCGATAGGGCTCTGCCTCCTGCAACAGAACCGCGCCCATTGGGAAAACCACGGGACAAGTCGCAATGCCATTTTTCTTGCAAAAGCACACGTCTGGCTTGGCCTCAGTGTGACCCCACCTCCACACGGATGTTGGGCTTCTCTTCCAGCTGCACACGCTCATCCAGATTCCAGCCGTCCGCAGGGCAGTACTGTGTCTTCTGGCTGTTCCGGAAAACGCAAATGTCCTATCGCTAAGTCGCCCAGTCGCTCAGTAGCCCACTCCCACCGACCCGTTCATTTCAACCCGTCCTGGCCAGCAGGCCCGACGGGTATTGGGGCTGACTGGTACAGGCCCCAGCCAGTTTGCTCATCCCACTTGATGACGAATGGCGACCCGTCCGTCTTAAATGCAAAAGCAGATCACCAATTAAGCATGGCATGGATGATAATAGATGAATCTGTTCGCTCATGCACCTGAAGGGCAACCAAGGCACTCTTTGATATCGAGGCCTCAAATGCCACCATAAGCAAGGTGGTGATGATGCAGTGTGCTATGCATGTGCGGCCCCTCGGCATATTGACGTTTAACTGAGTACAAACTCTGTGCAAGCTCATTGCAAGGCCTGCTTGGCTGTGGAGGTGCCGTGGGAGCCTCAACAGCGAAGTGCAATTTCCTCAATTGCAACTACCTGCCACACTCGCACCAGTTCCATCCCTCCTGGCCTCTGCGGGCTGCTCCTGCACCTCTGTGGGCGTTGGCACAGGAGCTTCCTGCCAAGCCGAGCGAGTCGCTGAGAAAGCCACACGAGTTGAAACTTGGAACTGCATGCGCGATCTTTCACAGCACGCGCCTCCGCAGCCGGCGCTGCCGGCGCTTCCGGCGCTGCCGATGCTTCCGGCGCTGCCGGCGCTTCCGGCGCTGCCGGCGCTGCCGGCGCTGCCGGCGCTGCTGGCGCTGCTGGCGCTGCCGGCGCTTCCTGCGGCGCTTCTGGAGCCGCTGGCGCTGCCGGTGCTGCTGGTGCTGGTGGTGCCGCTGAAGCTGATGCTGCCGCCTGCTCTGTTGAAGAGCTGCGAGGCAAAGGCGGCCGCACAGGAGCCTGGGTGTGGCACGACGTATCAGCGTGAGCTCAACCCTTTGCGTGCCTCCATCTGTGCGTAGACCCCATCTGCGGGTCCTGCCATCATGGCAAAGTCAATTCGATGACGTGAAATGCACAGGAGAATGAGAGAAAGGAAGTGACAAAGCAAGAGAGTTCAAGAAGGTCAAGAAACACATCTTTCAAGGTTGCTTAATGAAGTCTCGAGAACTCGAGTCTAGAATTGCATCTTCGGTCCAGAGCCGAACACGTGCACCTCCTTGGATCGCACACAATTCGGGCGCTGGCCAGACCCACATGGGAAATTCGAAATTGGGGAGCCTTAAAGGAAAAAGGATTTACTCGCGACTCGTAACCGCCAATGTTATTTTTCGGGGTTTTGGAACCGGTCTTCCTTGAATCTGGCCCCATGGCTTGCCATCGAGTCGCGTGGGAGCAGAGCTCTTTGAAGTCCAGCTCTAGGGCACGGAAGGCGTAACGAAGCCCTTCCTCGGCTGAATGCAACGTGACCCCAATGCATGTGGGTCCTCATGCAACACATCAATACATGCAAAACATGCAAAACATGCAAAACATGCAAAACATGAAAATGCTTCTTCCTTTTCAGAGGCACTTGGGGGAACAGTGCAAAATATATCTGTGAGATCAACTTCCGCCCACCTTCTCGTCCAAGGAGCTATGGGCATCAGATCGATTGGCCGGCAGCCCTCGTTGTCCGTCGCGGCCACGTCTGCTGAAAATTCCAGGAGCTCCGCCACGCACGCGTTGGCTGCGGCGCTGCGGGCTTTCACATTGGGCTTGGGGCGGTGTCCCTTCAACCCCAAAAAAGCAAAAGACACGCTCATATTCAGGACCTGGTGCAACAGGACTGGCCAATCTAGAATGTACAGTACACTCCAGGTCTCCAAGGCACAAAACAAAACAGGCCCCTCTTAACCCAGCGAAGTATTTCTGGTCAGGATGAACACACGACACTCGAGCTACCCCATGGCTGCCCTCAAGGACTCTCGGAAACCCAACACCATGCGGCCTGCAAAGGCCGCCCAGTGCAGTGGGGTGAGACCATGTGCATCTCTGCTGTTGCAGTCTGCCTCGGCCATGGAACAAGGAGGGCTCAACCAAGAAGCCTGCACGATGATCAGTTCGCAGGCAAGGCACCTTTGCCTTGAGCAATGTACTTGCAGAACTTGCGCTGCCAGCCGCTACTGCGTGGTGCAGGGGTTGCCTCATGCTACACACACCTCTTGCGTCATGAGTTCGGCTTTCGCCAACCGGTCGGCGAAATGGAAGCCATGCAGCCATGCTTCCATCCATCCATTGACGTTGCAATGAATCTACGGCTCCTGCCACCACGGTCCACATCCAAAGGCCAATGCTGATCGGCCACAATCTCAAACGCTCCTAAATGGTTCATGACATGTCGATCCCTCCTCAAAGCCTCGTGCATAATCTCCGGCGTTGCCTGGATGCGAAAGGCACGCTCGGTGATGCGCTGCTTGTTGGTTCTTGAGGTTGATTGATCCAGGGCACATAATTATGTGAAGCCGCAACCATGTTTGGCCGAAAACACGCAGTTTGGAGGGGCAAAGTCCTCTGACGTGGCTGATCAATTTCTTGGTTCAAGTGGTTGAACCTAGAACCAGCATGGGAGAAACACGCTTGCCAGCAGCCTGTAAAAAACTCACCGCGTGCTCAAAGCGCATGCACAAATGAACCTGCAAATCCGCCGACGTGCATCCGTAGTGTGCCAAGCTCTGGAGGAAAACGACGCCGGCAGGAGTTTCACCCACAGTGTCAGTTTTTGCCAGGCGCAGTGCCTGCGCACTCCCGGAGCCCGCGCTCTCCCCAGCCTCTTCCCGAAGCTTTAGAACCGGAGGTAGCCGCGCGCAACTGATACCTTGGAGCCCCGCTTCTCATCGATGTGCCACAGTCAAACTCCCCATATGGCGTATGATCATGGTTCTCTCAATAGGAATCATTATACACCTATCGCGTTCGCACAAGTAGGGTTGAGATCCTGAAGCCTGACGAGAAAGACAAGGAATCACTACAATGGTGATTAAGGATCCTTATTACCATGCATCCGTTAACCCCGAGTAAAGGAGTCGTTAGACCAATGGCACACATGTGCCTGGTCAGTCACCAACTCCCAGCGCGGCCGAGGTTGCAAAGATCATAGTCGCAAGGCCAGCACGTCCAGTAAACGGGCTTATCCTGCAAATCTTGCTTGCGGCACACATCGCAGTGTGGTCTTCGATGGCAGCGACCTTTCGATAGCCTGGCCAATATCATATAGCTGTCTCAAGATAGGCGAAGAAAATGGTGGTTGTCCCCTTTGGTCTCCGTTTAAACCAACCTCAAAAGGGTCGCCTCGAGACAAGACACATCAACAGGGAATGATGTGTGCCGATGCCCAGCCTTTCCATTGGATGCAGCCTTGGGCACAGAACAGTTGGTGGCAGAGCCAGGGAAGCACCTGAGCCAAAGGCAAGGGCTTACGGGAGTCAACGAGTCACTGCGAATTGAAGAACTTGTCTCAACACATGCACAAAAAAAAACAAAAACAAAAAAAACACGACTGGTGCAAAGGCTGTGGTTGCAAAGCAATGCGTGCAGAGTCACCCGTCAGTAGTTCGTCATCAATGACCTTCCACTCCTCCTGCAATGATGACAGAACCAGTCAGACTCATTTGGACCCCCCATCCTTGCAATCCATCTGTTTCTCGTCTGTGAATAACAGGCTCCTGGCTTCGGCCCACTGCGCATCCCTGACCAGCCGCTCTTCGAGCATTCACCTGCTCAGAATGACCAGTGTCTGAGAACAAACAAAATGAGAAAGCGCGTCTAACGCTCTCCTGGCTGCTGGCCCACAAATGCCCAGCCTCCGCACCAGCTGACACCAGCAAGTCCACGAGCTCTGCATCGTCCACCGCTGCAGCCAGCATCAAGGCACCTGGGTCATGCCAAG